TATTATCTTGAAAAGAAAAGAAAAATTTCGTGTGCCATCTCTTCTCGGATTACATTCGTCTAATGTAGAATCGAAATTTCTCTAGAATAGAGAAAACTTTTGTCCGAATTTACAATTTTTTACAAGGAGATAATTGGAAAAGAACGAAATTTTTCTCAGATTCTTGAGATATATAGAAGAGGAGCAAGAATTTTTTAGGGGAATATAATCTGAAAAAAGATGGTATGTGAAAATTTTCTAGAATTTGATATATTTACCTGTTTTATATTTTTTATCTTCTACTTACTTTTACTACTTTGTGCTGTCACATTTACAAGCACAACATTTAAACTTGTTTTAATCATTTTCGTAATTATTTAATCACTTGATACGCTTTTTGATGCTATTTGATATCATTGAAATTGATCTTACTTATCCACTTTATATTTATTATCTTTAACGTCTCATTATAAAAAATATATAAAATATATAAATAATATATATAAAAATATATAAATATATCATATATTCGAAATTTAAACCGAGAATATGAAAATCCATTGGAATTTTTTACATTGAAGGTTAAGAAATATTGTAGTTTTGAAAAAGAAACGATGAAAGTGTGTTCAATTGACGTCTCGTACCTCGTTTATAATCACGCGCCAAAAGTATAAACAAGAAGAGCAATATAGTGGAAAAAGGACAGAGATAAACTAAAAATATGGGAATCAGCGCCATCTCTAGAGTGCCGCAAATGAAACAGAGAAGAAAAGGATAAAAGATAGTGAGAGTAGGATAGAAATAGAATAAGATTTGACTATCAGCGCCATCTCTGATGTACCAAAGATATCTTTTCAAATAGGATAAAGTAGAATAAGAATTGAAAATCAACGTCATCTCTTGAGTATTAAATTAATTTTCTAGAAATACGTCCGAGATTACCATATTTTTTTACCGTATCTTTATTTTTCTCTCGCTATTTGCTTTCTTTGGTTATATTTGCTTTGCAAAATTGATCAGGATATTTAGTATTTCACTAATTTTATCTTTGTTTACTAAAACAAAAATATAAAAATAATTAATATCGAAATATATCAAAAAGATATGTATGTATATTAAAATAGAAATACATATTTGCCAATGCGTGTGTACGTGTAATCAAAATTATACGGATTAAAATTCAATTTTATTTATTATACATATATACGTATAATATATGTATGTTGAAGTAAAATTCCCTAATATACTTAGATAATTACATTCACTTATTCCATTTTCTATTCTTTCTCAAAAAAGAATCTTAGATTTTTGATTCTAAGATTTTCAAAAGAACTACATATACATATGTAAATCAAAATAACTCTCATCTTACCGTACGATCTTAAAATGTCATGAGTTCCCTCTAAAATTCTAAACGACGCGAAAATACCGTGTGTCTTCAACAAATAAATTGATTACGCTAGTAATCTTGTAATGACGTTTACTTTGAGTATGCTTCATCAATTTAGTAGTGAGAAGTTTGAAGCTGGACGAACCCTTCCTAATTCAATCAAGCAACTTCCCTGTTATGTTACTTTGACATTAGTTACGTTAGCTGAAACGGAAACTACAATTGCATAGTAAGTTAAATTATTCTAATCTTATTAAACGAAAGAATTTTTACAAATGGCTACAATTAAATTTTACCTCTTTCGCGTAAATTCGAAATTTTACGAATTGTATGCAAACAAAATTTATATTAATACGTAAATTAAATTAATTTAATTGATATTAATATTGTAAGATATTAGTAATTTCATAATATTATCTGTTTCAATGCTCGAATAAACATACAGATTCGATAATTTTTATCAAATAATAAGCAAGTTTCTATTTAATAAGAACACAATATAATAATAAGTTTATGATATGGTCATATCCAATGGTCAAACAAGATGGCAGACAAATAATTTTCTCTTTTTAGCAATAAATTGTACGTTTACGATTGAATAATTATTAAAAATTTGGATTGTTTTCGATTTTTAAGACAAGATTTTTTTAACGAATAATTTCATTTCGTTTCAAATAAAATTTATTAAACTATTTATTTAAATTTATATATTATCATATTTTATTTATATTAGGTACATTTTTCCTTATATAATTTATTAATCGCAAAATAGCACATGGAGTAATCCCTGGAATTCGAGTGGCTGCAGCAATCTAAAAAGATAAAATAGTAGATAATATTACAATGATAATATGAAAAAATATTATCCAAAATATATCTTTTCTTTCCTTTGTATATACTTACTGTATATGGTTGTAATTCTGAAAACTTTTCTTTCTCCTCTGTGGATAAATTTAGTTGAGGCCTATATTAAAACATACAATTAATTATTAAGATTAATTAAAACATACAATTAATTATTAAGAAAGATGTTTAATAGATATCAACTTTTATTTCATATTCAACTTAAATTAAACTTACATGTTATAATCGATAGATGATGGAATAATCATTTGTTCGTTTTTGCGAATTTCGTCGATCTCTTGTTGTAATCTTTTCATGCTCGGTGCATATAATCCTTCTATCTGTATTTTATAACCATAACAATTAATTATAATTTGTACTTGTTTAAAAATATTTATATATGTTTTGCAAACCTTTAATCTTTCTAAAATGATTGAATCCTGCGCAAGATGTCCAAACCGATCCGGAAGCGCTTTAATAATCATATCGATGGATATCATGTTATTACATAACAAATCAAAAGCGGATTGAACATTAGTATTTTTAGTATGCTTAAAACCGAGTAAATTTGTCCAATTCAAATTAGAACGAACTTCATTTTTAAACAATTGTATACTTTCTTCCAATTTGGATAAAATTATTTCTGTTTTTTTCATCCTTTCTTCAGATACACAACCAATTTTATATCCTTTTTCGGTAAGTCTTTGATCCGCGTTATCTGGTCGTAAAGTCAATCGAAATTCGGCTCGACTAGTAAACATTCTATACGGTTCATTTGTTCCTTTTGTAGTAAGATCATCGATCAAAACACCGATATAGCCCTCCGTTCGACTTATTATTAATAACTTTTTATTAAGAACCTATCAAATAAATATTTAACAAGAACCAAGAATGAGTTTCTTTGTTATTAACTTGAAAAATCTTGAATAACATAAATACATAAAAGAAACCTTAGCTGCTGCATTAACACCTGCTATAATTCCTTGTGCAGCTGCTTCTTCATAACCAGTTGTACCATTTATCTGTCCAGCAAGAAATAATCCTGGAACTTTTTTGGTTTCTAGCGTAACATTTAATTCTCTTGGATCAATATAATCATACTCAACTCCATAACCTGGTTTGACTAAATATAAAATTATAAAATTATATTAGAATATTATATTGAATATAAAATATAAAATATTATATTTGAAATATTCTAAAAGGCAGAAAATTAATTTTACTCATTTTTGCATTTTCTAATGCTGGAATACATTTAATAAGTTCTTCTTGTTTCTCTGCAGGAAGTGTACACGATAATCCAGCTGGATATGTTAAAGGCGAATCTAGCCCTTCTGGTTCCAGCCAAATTGGATGTTTATGTTCTTTAAATTTGAGAATTTTGCTTTCTATGCTTGGACAATATCTAGGTCCGCATATTTCTTCCGTAACATGTAAATTACAATGCATGTTATCTTTTATAATTTTTTCTACTTTTTTCGTTGTATATGTTAAATAACAATTTAATTGTTTTTCTACAGGTAACCAAACAGTTTCGTTCATAAATGAAAATGGTGTAGAGATTTTATCTGGAAAACGGACATCACATTTGGAAAAGTCTATAGTAGATTTTTCTATTCGCGGTGGTGTACCTGCAAAAATATTTAAAAATAATATAGATAAATTTTGAAATTTGTAATAAAATACAATATAATTACCAGTTTTTAATCTTCCCATTCTAAATCCAATATTTTCTAATGTATTAGCTAATCCAATACTAGGTTCATCCCCAAATCTACCAGCAGGTCTTTTTTCTAAACCAATATTAATTTGTCCTTTTAGAAAAGTACCCGTTGTTATAACAACTGCATCACTATAAATTTTTGTTCCATCTCCTATAATATGGTTTTATAAAATTTTTTATTTTTTTAAAATTAATAAACATTGAACAACAATAATCCATTTCAACAAAGTAAACGTACTAAGAATTATTCCACAACATCTTGGAGAATCTCCATGTACGATTAAATCTTCTACAGAGGATTCACATATTTGTAAACCAGGTGTATTAAAAAGTTCTTCCTGTAAATGTTTTTTATATAATTTACGATCAATTTGAGCTCTATAACCCCACACAGCTGGTCCTTTAGATCTATTTAATATTGTATAATTAATACCAGAAAGATCACATATACGACAACAAACACCATCTAAAGCATCTATTTCTCTCATAAGATTTCCCTTTCCAATTCCACCAAAGGATGGATTACATGACATCTCTCCTATAAAAATGTAAATTTTTATTCAATAATCTTATTATAATATTAAAATAAAAATTAAAAATAAATTTATACCTATTGTGCTTTTCTTATGAGTAACTAATAACGTTTTTGCTCCCATTCTAGCAGCTGCTGCACAAGCTTCTGTTCCGGCATGACCACCACCAATAATAATAACATCAAATTTATGTTGATCATTGTTAAATGAAATATTTCTTAGAAAATAAAGAAATCCTTGTTTATAAGTTTTGTTTAATGAAGATAATCCAATCTTTTTATAAATCATTTTATCATTATCATTTTATCAAAGTATCCTAGGATAAAAGAATAAATCATTCTATTAAATATTTATTAAATTGTTTATTTTAATAATTACATATACATCTATATAATATGTGTATAATATATTTATATAATAATCTTAAGATATAAATGAATAAATACATAAATAGCAATATAACAAAAAAAAAAGAATTTATATATTTATTTATATAAAGAAAAATGTAGGACTTTTTTAAGAAATAAAAAATTCAGTAGTTTCTAATTTCATAAATAAGGAATTATATGTAAGTGCATCTCCAAGTTTTGGTAATATTAAATTTTCACATATAGTTTCTTTATCTATAAAATTTGTATTTACATATTTTAAATTATTTATAAACTCTATGACAAAGTTAAAACAATTCATTGAAACTTCATCATAATTTTCAGATTTCCATTTTGGATCATTTATCATTATTTTTAGTGTTTCATTCCAATGATTAGCCCAAGATGAAGGAATTATATTTATTGCAATACAATTCATCCATTTTGAGTAATCATTTACTACTAAACCAACTTTGTCGTATTCAAAAACAATTCCTTCTGAATTTGTTACTCCTATATGTAAATCATTTACAATATGATAATCATTTAAAAAATTGCCATGAGCTGGTTTTACAACTATAGAATGTGGTTCATATGCTGCATTTTTATAAGGATATGGAATAAGGAAAGGTATTATTTTATAATCTATAATTTGTACATGACAAATTGGACATATTTCTGGAATACTTTTACAAAATACATTTTTTCTACAGCAGTGTTGAAAACATACAATTTTTGAATCAGAAGCCATTTTAATTTATTTCAATGCTATTTCATGGAAAACTGTAACACCTTCTACAAAATGTTAGGTTATGTCATGCAGTTTAGCAATCAATGAAGAATCTTCAAAAAAGAATCAAAATCCTTATTTAGACAAATTCATGCGAAAAAAACTACAAGTAAAATTTATCATATTAAATAAAAAATTTAATAATTATACTATTAATAAAAGAAAAAATAATTTTCTAAAAAGCTACATTACCTATTACAAGTTATAATATTCGTCTGTAATAGTATCACTTTATGTAATTAATATGCACTTAATAATAATTCATATATATTATATCTATACCTTATATATTATATTTATTACATTTATTATATTTGTAATAAATTCAACATTTTGCAACAATAATAAGGTAACAAAGATAATAAATGATTATCTATGATAGCAGTTGATATTCATATCGTACATATCTAAAATATTTATCTTATAAAAAAATTATAAAGACAATATCTATCTTTTTTATAATATAAATATTTAACTAATGCAAATAGAGATATATTGATATTTATTGTATTGTTTCAAAAGAACAAATTAAGAAAATGAAAATTTAAGAAAAATTTATGAATAAAAATTTTATAATAATTAAATAAAGTAAACATTTTTCCGAATATAAAATATTTTTTAAATTGCGCGTAATTTTTAATTTTAATAAAATATTAAAAATTATGATATTTAAATGTTTCATACATTTGAAATATAATATAATATAAATATCGATATAATCACTTAATAAACGCTTCGAAATATACCAAACATTCGACGCTCGACCTTATCCGCCGAGATACGATTACCGGTTACCAGTCAATTTCGCTTCGGTCGTTGTATCGTTTAGACGTGTCGAGACCGTGTGCGTGTAATTTCGTGTATAATTTAATTGTATTTCGCATTTAAAATATTTATCCTGATTTATTTGTAAAATATTATTTATGAGTGTTTACGCGATGTATATTTATGCGCAAGTGTTTTAAGTATATTCATTCGCGAGTGTAACAAAAAAATAGTGACGAAAAATTTCGCGCGTTTTATGATTTTATTTATGAGTGTTGGTACATTTTATTATCATTATGAACAGACAGGAAATTGCTATTGCTGTTGCTGTGCTATTATCTACGAACGGTAAGTCACATGCATAAATGACTTATTTTTTTAAATATGTATTATAAGCATAATTTATTATGAACATTTTGATATTCGTGAACATTAATATTTATTTATTATTTCTTTTATGATTTAGGTTAGGATTTTTGAATTCGTATTTCACAATTTCAAGTTTTTCAATTTTAATTTTATTACTTTTTATTCGATTTCTGTTATTATTTCAATTTTAATTTTGCAATTTTATACTTTTTAATTTTCTCGTTTTTTAATATTTTAGTTTTTCATGTTTTTTACATGAATTTGAGTTTTGACACACACACACACATTAATAAATGTATTACGTATTTTATATTGGAGTCATAAGAACGATTTTAATTTTGAATATATACGAGTATTTCGTTAAACAGATTTTTTTGTAAAAATAAGAATCTCGAAAGAATTTTTATTTTTTATATATATATTCCATATCCTTTATAATTAAAAAAATAATTATTTATAAAGATCAATTCTTAAAAATTCTGTTTAAAATGATTAAAGAAAATATATTATCACATGATATTATTTTTTATTGTTTTTTTTTATTAATTAAGAATATTCGAGGTTAAATGATTGTTTTTATTCGCATTCTTCGATCAATGATTTAGTCTCTACCTTGAAATGCGACCAATATTACACTTGACTAGCGCGTTCCCGCCTTCCCCCACTACTTAGTTCTCGCGCGTGCCGTGTGCCGTGGTAGCGCTGCCATAGTAGCAGCTGATCCATGGTACGGTATGGAGCAGTCGTGTTCGTACCGCGTTTCGTAGTGTGTTTGTACCGGTACGGGTGTACGATGTTTCTGCGTCTCTCCTAATTTTATCATAGTGAATCTCGTGCACGATATTCGTGATAAGTGACTATTTTGAATCTAGTGTTTGATCAATTCTTCTGCTGACACGTTGCGAAACAGTGAAAGGCAAAGAGGGACGAGCAGGAGAACGACGACGAAGGACGAGCAAGAAGAATCCATCACGATACGTTTATCACGAAAAACTGGTGAGTTTTAATGTCTATGTCGTTCGATATATACGAATGAAATACTGCGCAAAAACATATAGTAGAAAATAGTTAGAATCGTGACACGTGCGTCAATATTACTCTTGAGGACGATCGTACAAGGCGCACACGTGAGACCGCGTACCCTTTCGAGGTGACTGACACCTGATGCGTCAATGACCATACCACGCGTATGAGTCGCGTGTACCTTGTTTCTGTTTTATGATTTTTAATTCTTAGATTTTAATAAAATTTTATTTGTAAATCTGTATTAGGAATTGTCGAAGCAAAACATGATTATTGTTTAGAATAAAAAAACAGGCGCGTGTTTTTATGATTACGTGTGTAGCGTCATAAGGAAAGAGATAGGTTATGTCACAGATGCTAACAACATTTTTTAATTGCGGGAGTGAGTTTCATCTCACGATAAATAACTCTTATTTATACACACATGCGTATTTGTCTACTCAAAATATATTTTAAGTCATTTAATAAAATTCAATTCGTATTTCTTATTATGCTCATCCATCATTGGTATTTATTTCGTTTTCGTTGGGAAGTGTAGTTCAAGGTTACGCATATTGACGTCATATATACAGATTTAATGGAAATTCATTAATAGTTTCTGCTTCAAAGTCATCTTTTTATATATATGTATTGTTGTAAAAAAGAATTTTTATATATAAATATATTTTAAATATATATTTTTACATCCAATATTATACTTTTTACATATGTGTTATTATTTAATTTTATTCTATTGATGCGATCTTTTACAAAAAAAAACAAAAATAGCTATTAGATATTTAAATTTATATTTTCATACGATAGATAGCTTTCTATTGTAGATGAATTATCATACATTATGTGATTTTATAGAAAAAAGATATCATTTAGATTGAAACATTTATTTCATAATATTTTTAGTATACAAAAACGTGTATTATAATATTATTATTCTTATTTTTTTTAAAAGATTTCTATTCTTTTTTCTTTATATTTCATACAATAGAATTTATATTACACATGTAGCATAATGATTAAAATATGTTTCAATATCTTTGTAATGCAATTGAATAATGTTGTTTTCATCGACATTTTATAATAACACGACTAAAATCGGGATCACGTTTTATCGACTAAAAGAGAAATAGTTATGAAAATAAAAATAAAAAAAATAGAGAAACAAGAAAAATAGCGAAAAATAAAGTGAAACAAAAAAGAAACATGAGTACACGTGTCACACTTGTAAATCCAGAATTATTTCCGACGACGAATTTTCCTGCAGAGTCACACGCGTGCGCACTAGCAGTACCGTTGAAACTTTATGGAAATTTTGGAACATTCGCGCTTACCCCTGGGTGCTTCGTTTAAATTTCATTATCTCGAACATCAATTAAATGATACGTCTTTCGTTTCCAATAAAACTTATCTCTGTTGGATAGAATAATTAAATGAATTAGATGATAACAATTGTCGTTTCAAATTTTTGTTGCAATTCAATCATAAGTCGATAGTTGAAAAGAGTGGGAGAGAGGGGGAAGAAATTTAAATTAATACAATGGAAAGGAAACTTAAAATTTTGTATATATTTTTATTTTATAATTAGAAATCATTTCTCGTTGATTTATAGGAATTTAATTGGCCAAACATAAAACATTCTCGGTAAAATATTATATTGTGAATATATAGGCGTGCGTTTTGAATCGTCAACACACGTATATCCGACTATGTACAATGGACCGGTTTCCGATATTTGAACGCGATACACCCCCTGTGGTCGTCGAGTTTGTCCATAAATCAGGAAGTGCACGCGAGTACACAACGCGGATGGTTACACCCTCTCGTAATGCATTCGTGCACGCTCCAAAAATCATAGATAGGTTTAATTTTTTTTTGACGGAATCGCAGACAGTTGCACGCTTTGGAATTTTGTTCAATGCTTTTTGCTGGGCTACAAAAGTTTAAAAGAGTAGCGAGATATAATATGGAAATTCAGGAGAGAGTGGAATTAGGATGATGTTCGACTAGAAAAAGAAGAGAAATTAATTGCGTAGAATAAACTATAATTATCTTGAAATTCAGATTTAAATTCAAATCGTTCACTAATAATATTTAAATTATATACAGCATAGGTAAATGGATATATAATAGTTTAAAATAATTTCTATATTGAATTTCTTAATGTAATATATTTATAATATAGAATAATAAAAATACTTATGGCAAGATGATTACATTTCGTAGGTGTTTGTTTAGAATTCTCCAGGCGTCTGATAATATTACTAAATTATCTTTATATAGCATTTAGATGTTTGCAACACACGAATATATCTGGTTGCTCACTAGCAATATTGTGCGTCTAAGAATAGATTCTCTAACTCCTTCGTGCTACCAACGATATTTAAACAAGTCGGAATTTCATCGAAATCATTCATAAATCATGAATTGTGCATGTCTAACGACTTAAAAAACAATCGTGATTTATAAATTATAATCTGCTAGAAACTTCTGGATCGATACTTTTATTAAAAATCTTCTTTTTTTTTTTTTTTTTTACTATTAAATGTAATTTATTACCTTTTAAGGAGACTTTTCTCCGAATAAATAAATTAAAATAGGTATTAAACTTACATAAGATTACTACATGACGTTACTAAAATTAACTTTATCAGTCGTCGATTAATTTTATAAGTAGAATTAATAACATAAAAAGCATAACATATAATTAATGATTTATAAATAATTTATTGAATATATTTCTACGATAATGTAAGAATGTCGTTTGTGGTACTTACATCATACTTGTTTACATTCTATCCACGTGAGATAAGATGTAGAATGTTGATTAACCTCGTTTGAGAGGAAATCAATTAGGATTATTTCTGATGAAAAGTGCGTGAGGCGCTTTCGTGTCGGAGATTAATCGTGTATGAAACGGCGAACTGGTTTCGATTCATCGTGTAATTCGAGGCACGCGTAACATGGCGAAACTTGAATCATGACTGTAAAAAGAGAACTGTGTTGTTAAAGATTTCGTTTCATTCATCTACCATACATAGGAATTCTCGCTGTTCGACACTCGTCTCGAGCTTTTTCTTGGATTCCTCAATATCTTTTTATCCTTATAAATTTTTTTTTCGAAGAACTTTTAAAAATATTTCTTAAATGGAAATGACTATGTATTTTACTGTTTTTGATAAGTAGATTTTACAAGTAATACATCGATCTCTAAATGATTTTCAAAAATTTGAGGATAATTCTTTAAAGAGTATTATAATTTAATTTGATAAACTTGGACAAAAATATTTTTTTTTTATATGTTTCGATTAACTAAAATTTAATTTGTTTTATCGAGAGAAAAATATATTTATTTACTTTACCACTAATTAAGAAATCCAAGATAAATAAAATAAATAAAATAATCTGTGCGCAATATTTATAAATCTCGTTACGATCGTTCGTTTTCGAAAAATCGCGGTTCAGAAGGGCAAGAATGAAGAAGTAGCGCGAAAAAAGAAAAAAAAGTAGTGCAAAATGGTTGCATGCGCTTCGCGTTGTCAAAGAGTTAGCGCGAAGGTTAACGGCGTAATCGTGGTAGAAGTTTCTTGCCGTTTACCTTCCCACGAGTGTATTTTTACTCACGCGAATCAAACGAAAGCTTCTCCCCGCGAGCGACCTCGTTTAATAGTAACCGACGATTCGCTAACGAGGTTAACAACAAGCCGCCTGTTTCACGTCGGAAATAGAGTTGCTCCATTAAAGTCTAAATCTTTTTCGAACACCCTCGTTGTACTTATCGATTGTAACGATAGTTATTTGGAGCAATTTGAAATAAAATCTTTGAACACGGAGGCTCATCATAGGAAGAGATTTGTCGAAATGAAATTTGAACAAATTTTTGTATTTTATTATCTTTTTCTAAAAGATTCATCGTATCAAGTTTGACGCAGAAGAGATCAATAAGACATTATCTCGCGATTCGGTTTCTTTGTATTTTACGTAACAATATTTCACGATCGCGTATCATTAGAAATATAAACCACAAATGTCATTATTATCAATATTGCAGAAATATCATATTTATTGGAGTTTGGACTTTAAATTCCAACGAAAGAAATTTTCATTCATCCAGGATTATATTATATTCTTCAATAAGAATTAGACCCTTTTCGTTAAACGAAATCATTCAATTCGTTTAACTTTTGAATGTATAATGTCCTCGATAATCTACCAATTTATGCAACTATTCCAATTATTCTTTCATACATCGTTCAATTGCCCTTGTCATCAATCCCAATAAATTCTCATCGCGTACCGAATCATTCCTCGAATCATTACGGTATATTACTATCCATTAAAAAAAAAAAAAAAAAAAATAAAGGACGAATGGATACGAATCTTGTTTACTTAAATCGTTATTATCTCGATATATGAGTAAATCCAGTAGGACGCGAGCGGATAGTGGTTGATTGGAGGGGGGGCGAAACTGTTCCGCGCGTAATCGGAAGGACGATGATTTTAATTGAAATTTCGATAGCCGAATGAACATTCCGGGATTGAAAAGGCAATTAAGATCGAATCGGTGATACATCGAGGCGAGGTGAGGTGATGCACTTTCGTAATCGAACTCGGGTTTTGCCGCCTCGCGTGTTCGATCCTCCTCCCATCCCCCGCGAACGATTCGGAAAATTGGATCGGCGATACTCGATCGAATCGTCCGGATATCGTCGTTTAATCACCGAAAAACGATCGGCTCGATTAACGATTCTTCCCATCCCTGATATCGCGATCGTGCAAGAAGAAGAACGATTGTAAGGAAACGTTTGACGACACCGGGAAATGGAATTTATTTATTTGTGATATTTTTATAAACAAAAATAAAAAAAACCGCGAAAGTTGAGAGGCGGCCGTGCGAGGAATAATGGAGAACGTCGGTTCCGTGCCGGGAATTTCTCGATGTGAAGTAATGAATAGAGTCGTTGTATAATAAATGC